GACTGGGGATGAATGGTGGTGGTGATCCCTCATGGATTTCCTAAACAAATCTTTCCCTAGCACCAGGCCCTGAGCGAGGTGCCAAGGACACAGTCGGGTACAATGCAGGCTGTTGCCTACATGGCACTCACAGATGAGGGGGTAGATGGGACCAAACTTGCAGGAACTACGGTTTCTAGAGTGCCACGTCACAGGCATTCATTCAGAGCACGTTGACTGTGTGCCTGGCTCTCCATGTCCTTTTGGTTCACTGAATGAATGAATGAATGAATGAATGAATGAATGAATGAGCAAGTGAGCTTTCCACTTGCGCCAGCTGGGAAGGTGCCAGTCTAACATCCACATCCCCAGGGAGGAGGTGTGGCCAGGCCGCCGTGCAGGGGCTGCCCTCTCATGCTGCTCTGCTGACTCCTGCTGGCCACAGCCTGGAATGGCAGCCGTCTCCTCCCAGTATCCTGGGCTGCTCTGGGTTGGGGGTGGAGGTGCAGTGAGCAAGAAGGAAACTGAGGGGCTGCTTCCTTAGGGATTTGTAAACACCCCTTCCTAGCCCCCTCTGAAAATGAGGAAACGGCTCTGGGAGAGAAGAAATCAGTCTGGTCGGGAGCAAGATCACAGCAGAGCTACTTGCTGAGGTCCGAGAGTCCCCAACTCCAAGGCTGGGCCTGTGTTAGGCAGGAAAAGGAGCTGATCAGGTTTCCTGACCCCACCTTGGCCACCCTCATGTCCCTCTGAGCTTCAGTTTCTTCACCTAAGTGGGGGAGGGCACAGTCACTCCCTGCCGAGGTGACCATGAGGATGGGGTGGCACAGCCAGGTGTGCCCAGAAGGGCTCTGCAGGCCCCACAGACTCTAATGCTTACTATTTGTGTCACCTTGGGCTACCATCGCCGGGCCTCGGTCTTAGCCCCTTTGTCCTAAGGGTCCCGAGCAGCTGGTTCGCCTTCAGGTTAACAGCACCTGCTTGTGAAGCATCTCCAAAGGTCGGGTCCAGTGGAGCGCTCAGGAAATGGGGCATCGAGGGGGACATGCTGACCTGTCTCTCACCTGCAGGGTCTCTTCTGGGGTCTATGAGCCAGTTGTGATTGAAAGCCATTGAGGAGCAGGTGTCCGGGCTGGAGAAGAGGCCTGCTTTCTCTGGAGTCCAGGCCCACATCATTCCATGAGGAACGTTCCCCTTCGGATCACCTTTGCGCCACACCTCATCCATGCCTCCTCCACGCACTCCAGTCCACACTGTCCCCCTAGCATCATTCCATTACCCTCCCATCTATGCTGGGACCCTCCTGGCCAGCTAAGGCCCAGGCACCACTGTGAATATTCTCCTCTGAACCACTAGAGGGCAGGCCAGGTGGGCCCGTGCAGCCCGTGGGCCAGACAGCTGGCCAGGACTGCCTCTGCTAGAGGCCGACCTGTCTCTCTGGCTGAGGATGTGCAGCGGCTCCTAAATGCAGGGATGCCTGTGGCTGAGGGGCCTCTCTACCTGTGTCCCCACTCCAGGAGCACTGGCTTTGGTCATGTCTTGGCGGCAGGGCCTTGCTCCATTATTCCCTTGCCCTGGTGATTGTCGGGGGGCGCAGACCACCTCCAGAATCCTGCCACCTGTGACCATCTGACTGCTTAGTGCTTCAGCTGTCCCTTCCTTGTGTCCTGGGGGACCTGCTGGCGGCCTCTTCCTGGGAGCTATGACCTCAGACCCCACCCACACTCCAGATGGAGACCTCCCTCCCCAGTGAATGCCCCCTGCTGCCTTGCAGCCTGCACTTTGCACATGCTCACCGCCCCCATCCAAGCACAGCCCCGCTGACCCCTCACCTCCCCTTCCCTGGGCCCCTTCCCAAGGACTCCTGGTCACTGCCTGCTGTGCAGTCAGTGGCCCAGGGCCCAGCAGCCCGGCGGGAACGGGTGCTGCCTCTCCTCTCTCCAGTCAGCTCCAGCGCAGGTCTGAGACCCGTGCTGAGAAAGGTCTGAGCCAGTTGTGATGGTGCCCTCTGCTCAGGGCTGGGTCCTGAGCAGCTGGTTCTCCTGCAGGAAGAAGGTTGGAGCAAGCAAAGTCCTTCTCTGCCCCCAGGGTCAGCTGCCCAGACTGGGGCAGATGCCAGAGAGGCAGGTGGACCGTGGCTGGACTGGTCTGGAGCTGGTTTCCTTGCCAGAAAAGCCTCAGCCTTCCTCTGGAAGCATTCCCAGTCTGGACAAGGGGGAAGGGCTCCTTTAAGGGGTGTGCTTTCCCAGCGGGGAGCAGTCTGGCCCTGCCCCCCACTAAAGCCTCTGCTCTCAGCACTTTCCCCCCAGTCCTTGTAACTTGCTGCCAGCCAGTCCCTGGAAAAACTCCCTGCCCCTTTTAAATTTCACTCATTTTGTATAAACCCAGCAGGCTGGTGTTTACTCCGCCCTGTAGCTTTTTTCATTTTTTCTTTCCTCCTCTCTTTTCTTGTTGAGTTCACAGTTCAATATTGCCTCCTCCCCCAGGTGAGGGGAGTGCTGCTTTTCTCTGCCCCATCTGCCGGCTGGTTCCAGCAGTGCTGGGGTCCGGGATAGGGCTTCTCTCTCTGGGAGGGGTGCAGGTGTCCTCCCCAGGTTGGGAGGTTCCTTCCCTAGTTCCCCATCTGCCCTGCTGGTGAGTTGGGCTTCTTGGTCTTAGAAGTCCCCAGCATTGGGACCAGAGCATTTTTAGCATTTGTTGTTGTTTTACTCACCTAACTCTTAGAAAATGAATGTTAGAAGGTGCCTGCCAAGGCGGGACAGTGTTTGCTCGGCCTGGAGAAGGCTCTGCTCAGCCCCGAGGGTCCCCTCCTGCCCCACAGACACTGGCACTTTAAAAGGAAGCTGACTGCACTGTGTCCAGACGAATTGGCCCCAGACGATGGGGGAGTTCTGTTCTGCCCTTCTGTGTCTGTGACCTCACCCAGCCTAGGATGGAGGTGTATTCAGGGTAGATTTGCATCTCATTCAAAGTTCTGGGGCTTTGGGCAGAAAACAGCTGGCATTGGTGCTGTTGGGGAGACTCCTCCAGACCAGGAACCCCAGAAGGAGACAGAGCCCGCCACATCCTCTCATGCCAGGCCCTGGGCCAGGGTGATTGAACTGAGAATTCAGTCACAACCAAATTGATGCTGGCTGTAGCCAGAGGCCAGAAGGTGTGGCCTTGTTGCCCCCATATGGGAGCCCTGTCTTCAGCCCTCTCGTCCCCTTGAGCTCAGTGAATACCCACCAGGTGCCCACAGCTCCTGGACTTCAAATTCTATATATTAAGAGAGATGCAGAGTATATCAGAGATATTTTTGGAAAGGAATTGGTCTATGCAATGTCAGTTTGGAATCTTTTTCAAAGTTTAACGTTTTTATTAGCAGATTTAAAGAAAATAAAGGTCTACAATATCTTTAGGTTTTTTTTTTTTTTTTTTTTTCCGGTTTACCTCACAAACTGACCACATGGCATGTCTGCCAGGATGGTGGTGTCCATGTTTTCCTCTGTCTTTAGGGAGGTGATCAAGGAGATGGAGGGAGGGGTCTTTCTTTTCTTTAATTCCCCTCCTTTCTAACAGAATGTTGCCACCACTCCTTCAGTGGCTGTGTTTGTTTCTCTGTCCCAGCTTTTGTTGTAGAAAATAACATTGTTAGGGGAAATCGGCCTAGTGTCAGTGTCTTGGTTTGGGGGAAAAAAATTAAATGTTTCGGCTTTTGTTTCTTTTGCTGTTTTGTTTTTCCCTTGTTACTTTATCATGTTGACTTGAGGGTCAAAGACAACATCAGAAGGAAGTCAAATATGTATAGTGACATTCCAGGGTGGGGAAGCTGTAGCGGGCCAGGGTTCTCCCAGTCCTAGGCTATGGTCACAATCGTGTCGCCACCTTCATCGTTCCAGATTCCTGGGGAGGAAACTGAGAAGACCATTACCTCCCAGCCTCCTACCACGTGAAAGCCCTGTCCTCAGGGCCAAGTTCTAACCACTGCCCTGTGGACCTTTCCTGCAATCAAGTGGCCTCTAAGGAGCATGCCTGAGGACAAATAACTGTGACTCAGTTTCCTTGCCTGCAAATGGGGTTATCAAATAACACAGATGTGCAGCCTGACCGGTAGGAGGTATGAGTGTGTTCCCAAACCAAAGCCACAGGTTGCTCTGGGACAGGCAAGTCACTCTGGGTCTTTAACGAGCTTAGAGGTAGCAGGAAGCCTCAGTGGTTTGGGCCAGGCTAGAAGGAACCAGGGCTCCAGCTCTACACCAGGGTAGCATTCACACCACTCCTCAGTGCTGACCCCTGCTCATGGCCCCTTTAAACCCTCTGTTCTGTGCACAACCGGGAGGTAGGTAAAAGTGGGCTCCTAGCTGAGCCCAGAGTCTCCTGAGAGAGAAGGGAAAACCCAACATGGGGAAAACCCTTCCTTCCCTATTCAAAATACAAAAATTAGCTAGGCGTGGTGGTGAGTGCCTGTAATCCCAGCTACTCAGGGGGCTAAGGCAGGAGAATCACTTGAACCTGGGAGGTAGACGTTGCAGTGAGCCAAGACTGCGCCATTGCACTCCACCCTGGGCAACAAAGCAAGACTCCCGGCTCAAAAAAAAAAGAGCAGTTGCTCTTGTCAGCTTTATTCCATAGTCAGAGATGGGCTTCCAACAAACCAAGGAGATAAATGCCAGAGGGAGCAAACCATGCCAGGCTCACAGCACATCTCTCCCCGAAATCCCCAGGTGGGGACAGCAGGCCAAGGGCCTCCACATAACCCCTCAGAGAGACCTGGAGTCCCCAGATGCTGTACTCTGTAGCACTCCAGGATCTAAACAATCACTGAATCTTAAAGCTGGCTGATTGGTTCAAAGCTCTTGCTTTGGGCCGAGCACGGTGGCTCACGCCTGTAATACCAGCACACTGGGAGGCTGAGTCGGGCAGATCACCTGAGGTCAGGAGTTTGAGACCAACCTGGCCAACATGGTGAAAAACCATCTCTACTAAAAATACAAAAATTACCAGGGTGCGATGGCGCACCCCTGTAGTCCCAGCTACTTGGGAGGCTGAGGCAGGAGAATCACTTGAACCCAGGAGATGGAGGTTGCAGTGAGACGAGATCATGCCACTGCACTCCAGCCTGGATGACAGAATGAGACTCTGTCTCAGGGAAAAAAAAAAAAGCTCTTTGTGCCAAGCCTCCTGCCAGGGATACAGGAGCAACCACAGACCCTACCCTCAGGGGGCTGGTAGGGCCAGATTAAAAAATGCATCAGTGAATTAAAAGGCACAGGGGACTGGGCATGGTGGCTCACGCCTGTAATTCTAAGACTTTGGGAGGCTGAGTTGGGAGGATCGTTTGAGTCCAGGAGTTTGACACCAGCCTGGGCAACATAGAACTTAAAAAAAGCTAGGCTCAGTGGCTCATGCCTGTAATACCAGCACTTTGGGAGGCCGAGGCCGGCAGATCACGAGGTCATGAGTTCGAGACCACCCTGGCCAACATGGCGAAACCCCGTCTCTACTAAAAATACAAAATTTAGCTGGGTGTGGTGGTGGGCTCCTGTAATCTCGGCTACTCGGGAGACCGAGGCAGGAGAATCACTTGGACCCGGGAGGCGGAGGTTGCAGTGAGCTGAGATTGTACCATTGTACTCCATCCAGCCTAAGTGACAAAAGCAAGACTTCATTTCAAAAAAAATAAAAAGCCTTCACGGCTGGCTTCCCTTAGGGACGCGGTGACAAGTGAGACCCGGAGGAGCAGCCGCCCCATGCATGAGTGGCGAGGGACCGCGTTCCTGTCTCTATAGCTGGAGAAGCGTGAAAGATGATCTGGCCCAACATCGCTTTGTTCTCAGGGGAAGAGCCCTCCAAGACTGGGGAGGGGCCTGTGCGCGGGTCTCGCTCCGAAACGTGTTTGGGCTGCTCCAAGAGGCACCCAGTGAAGGGAGGGATGGGACATCCGAAGGGTGGCCCGGGAGACCGGGAGATGGTGAGGGGGAGTCCCCTCTCCACCAATCCAAATCCTCCCCATCCATGCGGGCTCCAGACGGACCCTCCCCCACCCATCCCAGGCCGGAAAGTGAACATTCTCTGCACCTCTCCCACCCGTTTCGGTTTCACCACTGACTAGGATTGGGATCTACCCCTCTGAGCCTCGCTTTTCCCATCTGAAAAATGGAACTTCCGATCCCTCACTCCCATCCCACTCTGGCTCCAGGACTCTGGAATGTTTAGAGATTAGCTTATGGTGGGACGGCTACAGAACTATGGCCATGAAGGCCAGGGAGTCTGGGTTCCCAACTGGGTCCCATTCCCTAGGGAGATTCGGGCAGCAACCGGCCAGGCCATTTCCTTGAGAACTACATTTCCCGAAATGCAAAGGGAAGAACTACATTTCCCGAAATGCAAAGGGAAGAAGGCGGTTCCTGCTAGTCTCGGACGACGTGGGGCCTGAAACCTGAGCCGGACCTGGAACTACAACTCCCGGCGTGCTCCGCGGTCCAAACCGGAAAAGCGTGACCCGGAACCGGATGTTGCTTGTGGCTCCGGTAACTTAGCGCCGGGGGAAATGGTGAGATTGGGACCGAGTGCCGGAGATACGGGCGTCTGGGGGTGGGGTCCCGGGTCTGCTCAGGAGCTGGGACTTGGGCACTTGAAACGGGGATTGCTCTCCCGCCTGCCCATTGTACGGACAACAGCGAGGCTTGGCATTCTCTCCCAGCCTAGAAACTGATCCCTAGTCAGCCCTCTAGCATCTGTTGAATGAATGGAAGCTTAGACAGTGATAACGGCCGCGACGCCCGGCTTCCATTAGTGCGCGGAAATGGAGAGTCACTTTGTCAGCTGAGACTTCCCTTTTCTCCAGGCCACGGGGACAGACCAGGTGGTGGGACTCGGCCTCGTCGCCGTTAGCCTGATCATCTTCACCTACTACACCGCCTGGGTGATTCTCTTGGTATGTCATTCTCCCCGCCCGCTGCTCACCTTCCCCGAGCTCTGGCACCGCCAAAGCAGCTACAATATAAGCGCTAGGCACGGCACTGGCATCATTGCCTGCCTCGTCTCATGAAACCTCCAGAACAATTCTATGAGGAAGATGCCATTGGTGCCGCATTTTATATATGAGATAGCTGAGGCTCGGGGAGAAGGATGAAGCTCAAGATTACATCCTTAACCGCTACGCGTAAAACTCTGTTTCCAGCTTGCTTTGACTTTTGGAGGAGTTCTATTCCTTCTGGGTTATCCTGCTGACTCTTGGCCATGGCGAGCGCCAGTGATATTTGTGAAGGCCTTTAGGATATATTTTTTTCTTGTGGGAAAACTTGTTGGTCATTACTTAAGAAGTGCAGTGTGTTTGGAAGTGCAGAACGTGGTTATTTTTAAAGAAAAAATATTAGTGAAAAAGCCTGGAGGCCCAGGTTGGGAATCAATCGAGGATTCCTCATGTACCATTTGCTAGGCTGTGAGTGCCTTGGGGCAGATCTCTTGTCCCCACCACCAACCTGTGGCAGGCACCAAAGCAAGTGCCTGGTAAATACCAGTAAGAAATTAAGGAAGGATCAGTATTAACCATCACATTGCTCAAGAGAAAAAAAATTAAGGAAGGGAAAAAACAGGACACCCAAATCCCATAATCTTAAAGAAAAGCAAATCCAGTCCCAATGCTCTGAATGGGTCAGCCCCTTAGATGGAGGAGGTGGGATGTTTGGGGGCTGGGCAAGGCGAGCAAGGCTCACCAGAGCTCTGCCCTCGATGCCAGCCATTCATCGACAGCCAGCATGTCATCCACAAGTATTTCCTGCCCCGTGCCTACGCTGTTGCCATCCCGATGGCCGCAGGCCTCCTGCTACTCCTGTTTGTGGGTAAGTCATCACCTCCTCCCCTTGACCCTGGGCAGGGTTTCGGGAGGACCCACCTCAGAAGGTGCTTCCACACTTTGGCACTGCTGGAAGCTCCCTGCCCTGCAGTCACCCCTGGGGTTTTCCTGTTATCCTTCAAGGCTGCCAGTCAGTAGCCTCTGGGCCTCCTGGTGCCTCAGGCTTTTTGGACTCCAGTGACCTGTCCCCCTCTTTTCTTCCCCCAACCCCATCATCACTCTGCTCACCTCAGTCACCCTCTCATCACCCTGACTTCTAATTCCTGCCCCTCTCTGTCTCATGGCTTTCTAGGGATGGGGACTGTGTCTCCATCATTACTGTGCATCTAGAATGGGCTGTGGCACTGAGGTTGTGCTCAAAGTCATTTGGATGAGTCAGTCAACAGCCGGGTGCCTGGATGATGAGTGGATGGATGGGTGGGTGGGTGAGGTGTAGGTGGTGGGCAGGTAGGTAGGTGGACAAGTGGTTCATTGGGTGATCGATAGATGGGTGGATCTTGTTCCCCTTGGAATCTGAAACATTAAATTCAGCATCTTGCCTGAGGCAGGCACTCAGTTGGTGTTTGTTGAATGAATGTGAATGGACCTATGGCTTGATGAATGACTGGGGAGATGAGCAGGTCCCCTAGAGGGTGGGTGGGTAGGTACACAGCCCTGCAGGTGGGTGGCTCTGCCGTGTCATGCCCTGACCTCCCAGCAGCCCTGAGCCCAGATATTACGTGGCCTTTCTGGTCTGTGTATTCCAGGACTGTTCATCACCTACGTGATGCTGAAGAGTGAGAGGGTGACCAAGAAGACTCAGTGAAGGTCCTGCGGGGATGAGGCTGCCAGCCCCTTCTCTGCCTCCCCTCCAGGGCAGGGACCAAGCCTGGGAGCCTGCAGAACCTTCCCAGGCACAGTGGCGCCCCAAGCCTGGCTGTCCTGCAGAGTCCCCATAGCATGGAACTTAGCCCTGACTGACTGGACCCCCCTCCCCTGCTCTCCCTTCCAGAAGCTAGGAGGGAGGGACACAAGAAAGGTCACCCCTTTCTTGCCCAGGGCCTGAAAGATGCTGGTCCTCCCAATCTCACTCTCAGACCCCCTGCCACCTTTTCCCCGGGGTTCTGCCATCATGCCTCATTTCCTCTCCTGTCACATGCTGACATTGGACTTAGCAGGTTCTAAGGCTGCATTTGTGACCTCTGACCTCTCTCCACAAGCCCTCTCCTCCACCAAGGCAACTTTCCTTAGCCTGACACAGCGCCACTCCCCACAAGCCCTTCTGGACCTGGAAAGCCTGGGGAAGGACTGACAGACCCCAGGACCACCCGTAGGGCTCAGGGCACATTATGAGCTACCCCGGGCCCACTGATTGACCACTCCTCATGGAGGCCCAGCCCCCCAACCCCAGGGCAGGCCTATTTGGGAGAGCTGACCAATAAATGCTGACTGATTGTGTATTTGTTTTTGTGCTGTGTTTCCTGAGAGTTGGGGCTGGAGGGGGCTAGGAACTGGCCCCCCCCATCAGTCTTGGGTCAGGAGATCATGTGCAATGGGGGTGCCTTGGGGCCTCCTGCCCTGAACCTGTGCACTGGGGATAAAGCAGGGACTGGGACAGACATGTTTCCCACCCAGTGGAGATCACAGCTGGGTGTCAGTGGAGACCCTGGCACCCCTCTGCCATGCCTTCCCTGTTCCAGCTTGGTCAGGATGGATTCATTACTTTAGGGACCCTTGGGCCACTCCTCTAAAAGCCCCACAGCGCAACATAACATGGCCTTGAGCAGCAGAGGCTGCTCCTGAGCACAGCAGGGCTTTTCTGTGTTCAGGCTGGCTGGGCTGGCCCACCCCACAGCCTTCCACCAGTCCTACCTCGCCTGGGCAGCTGGCTCTGTGGTTCACCACGGCACCTAGTGTAAACCCCCATCCCTCAAACCCAGGACCCTCCCTCATCACAGAGAAAAAAGAGGCCAACTGCAGACACCTGCCCTGTCCTCACCTGCTCCACGCTCTGTCCTCCAGTCCAGGCAGAGTTGCCCACTTGGACTTTGGATCCTAACCGTCCATCCCTCAACTGCTGTAGTGGGAGCCTGAGGTCACGGATGGCCTCCCATCATGAGAAAAACCTCTACAGCTCCACAGGATCCTCCCATTGTTTCCTGGGCGTGATCTGGGATCCCACTTACAGGTCCTCCAACCCAGTAGTTCCCACCAGGTAGCTCCCTCTGTCCATTTCACCAAGCCTCCCCAAAGGTGGTCCACACCTGCTGCCTACATTTCCTTACCTCCTGCCACACTCAGTGTCTGTCCCCATCACTCCAGGCAGGCTCCAGCCACTAAGGCCATCAGTGGTGCCCACTCTTTATTTTTTTCATTTTGAATTTTTTTTTAAGAGTTTCGCTCTTGTTGCTCAGGCTGGAGTGCAATGGCACTATCTTGGCTCACCTTGGCCTCCCGGGTTCAAGCAATTCTTCTGCCTCAGCCTCTCAAGTAGCTAGGATTACAGGCATGAGCAGAGATGGGGTTTCTTCATGTTGGTCAGGCTGGTCTTGAACTCCCCACCTCAGGTGATCCACCCACCTTAGCCTCCCAAAGTGCTGGGATTACAAGCATGAGCCACTGTGCCTGGCTGATGTCCACGCTTCAAAATCCAAAGGATGTTTGCTTGACTCTCAGTCACATTTGGCCTGTGACATCCCCTGATCCACTGACAGCCACTCTCTTGATATCTGTAATGACCATTCTTTTTATCTGTTTGTGACAGAGTCTCGATCTGTTGCTCAGGTTAAGTGATCCTCCTGCCTCAGTCTCCTGAGTTGCTGGGATTACAGGTGCCCAACACCATGCCCAGCTAACTTTTGTATTTTTAGTAGAGTTGGGGTTTTGCCATGGTGGCCAGGCTGGACTCGAACTCCTGACCTCAGGTGATCTGCCCGCCTCAGCCTCCCAAAGGGCTGGGATTGCAGGCCTGAGTCACCACGTCTGGCTGTGATGACCATTCTTCTACTTGATGTCTCACTCATGCTGTCTTCTGCCATGCGACGCCGGGCTCCTCAGGGATGTGTCACAGGCCTTCTCACCCTCCCCAGGCTCACCTCTGGCCCGATGTGCTGCCCGCCCGACATCCTCATCGGATGCCATTGTGGGAACCTCAAATACATCCTCTCATGAGCTGAATTCTCAGACTCCTCCCAAATCTGGCTCTCCCCCTCATGCCCTGCCCTCTCTAGGGACTGATGTTCTGTGTCCCTTACCTGGCTTTCTTCCCTATCCCTCCACCGACAGGACCCCAAACTTTATCAATTCTCCCTCCACGTTTCTCCCAGCCTCCAGCCACCTTCCTGATGCAAAGCTACCATCTGGCCTAAGTCACAGATGGCTTCCTCACCACTTCCCCTGCCTGCTCTGGCCCCACCAGTCCAACTACGCATGACAGCCAATGCCCTTCAAAAACAAACACCTCAACCAGGCATAATGGCTCATGCCTGTAATCCCAGCATGTGGGGAACCCCCAACATGGGCACCGGGAAAGGAGAGCTGTGCAGACCCCAGGCACAATTAGTGCTTGAAGTATAACTTACTGTTTACTTATATCTAGCTTATATATATATAATCATACTTAGTTCCATATAATCTTATATCTAGCTTATATATATATATGTTTTATATAATCATATAATGGATTGTAGTTGGAGCTGTACCGACACATTTAGTGCTGATTTATTTAATCTTTCTATATAATCACACAGTAGTTTGTAGTAGGAGGAATGCCTAGAGCAGTCACAGAACAGAAGCAAGTATATGGGAAAACAGCCAGGCCAGGACCAGAACCAATGACCCAGGCAGTAGCACCACTGCCTGAAAGGACATACATATATGGCAGGTCAGGGCCTAGACAGCAGCAGTCAGTACCCGCTGCATGGCCGGCTTGGAGCAAGAGTTATTCCTCCTGAAAAGGAATGGCAGTAACTTGCATCCAGTTCTTGTGGAAAGTAGGCCTCAGGCCTGAGATCCCTCGAACAACTGAGGGAGAAGAGCCCCTCTGGTGTAACTGTGCCACAGAGGCTGTACACCCTGTCTTGCCACTGGGCTGGCTCAAATCATCTTTCTATAAATTATCTTAGAGAAGAGCACAGTCTGTCAGCTCCCACTGCATTGATTTACCGCATCCTTCTATAGGAATCCTTTGAAGTCTCCAGCCCCCAGATAAGAAGTATTGCACATGGCACTTGTGGCACACAGCTTACCTCCTTGCCTCGGTGACCTAATGGGGGTGGATCCCCTTTTTGTACACAACCCTCTACTACTGCACATGGCACAGCCCCCTACTGCGCACAGCCCACCTCTCTAACTAGGTGACCTAATAGGGTGACCCCCTGGCTTGCTACTCATGTGATTATAAGCCTATAGATGAATTCACTCATGACCCTTCCACCTGTACCTAATAAATACAGATGCTTCTGGACGTTTGGGGCCTCGCTTGTCTCCGCTCATAGGTGGTGCGGTCCCCAGAGCCCAGCTACTCTTTTCCATTTCTTCTGTGTCCTCTCTCTTTACTGCTTGGATCCTGTGACTCAACACAGCAATAGGGGACACCCCATGACCCTGTGGGGCTGTGGCCCTACCCCAGCACTTTGGGAGGCTGAGGTGGGTGGATCACTTGAGGTCAGCAGTTCAAGACCAGCCTGGCCACCATGGTGAAACCCTGTCTCTACTAAAAATACAAAACTTGGCTGGGCGCGGTGGCTCACGCCTGTAATCCCAGCACTTTGTGAGGCCGAGGTGGGCGGATCACGAGGTCAAGAGATCGAGACCATCCTGGCCAACATGGTGAAACCCCGTCTGTACTAAAAATACAAAAATTAGCCGGGCATGGTGGAACAAGCCTCTGGTTCCAGCTACTCGGGAGGCTGAGGTGGAAGAATCGCTTGAACCCAGGAGGTGGAGGTTGCAGTGAGCCAAGATTGCACCACTGCACTGCAGCCTGGTGACAGAGCAAGACTCTGTCTCAAAAAAAAAAAAAAAATTGCTGGATGTAGTGATGCGTACGTGTAATCCCAGCTACTCAGCAGGCTAAGGCATGAGAGTTGCTTGAACCTGGAGGCGGAGGTTGCAGTAAGCCGAGATTGTGCCATTGCACTCCAGCCTGGGCAACAGAGTGAGATTCCATCTCAAAACAAACAAAAAACTCTCACACCTTGTCGTCTCACACTCACACCCAGACCCACAATACCTCTCTGGGTCCATACGAGGCCCTGCCTGCCAGCCTGCTTTCTCCTCTTCACTCCAGCCTCTCTGGCCTTTCACTTTCTGGACTCGCCAAGGCTCTTTGCATGCCTTACTCACCTTGGTCCCATAGATGCTCATCAAGCACCTGCTTGCACCAGGCACTGAGCCAGGAAGCAGGAGTGACATGGCCCCTGCTTTCATGGCATCCCCACCCCAGGGGGAGATGTAATAAATAATGAACAAGACAGTCTCTGACAGTGTTAGGGTGGTGAAGAAAATAAAGGTGATGTGATCAGGAGTTGGGGAGGAGAGCGCTCTGCTGGGGTCTGGCAAGGTGATGAAGGAACAAGGCGAGTGGCAGTCAGGCGTCAAGAGTTTCAAGCAGAGGGAATAGAAAATGCAAACGGAGAGTTTGGCGGCTAAGGAACAGGAGCGGCCCGTGTGGCTCAGTGGTGAGTGTAGGGACAGTGGTTTGAGATGGGCCTGGGGCCAGGTTTTGTTCCATTGCCATGGCAGCCACTGGAGGCTTTAAGCACGAGAGTGACGTCATCGGAATGATGCTTTTAAAGATCACGCAGGCAGCTGAGCCCCTCCCTCTCGATCACCACTAAATCCCCAGGGCCTAGCACTGCTGGCCCACAGTGAGTGTTCAGTATCTATGCGTTCAATGAATGGATGCCCCCGACTTTCCTGTGTGATCTAGAGGTAGTGACTTCTTTCTCTAGATCTCTGTTTTTTCACCCAAAAGATCGTCAATGGGAATTTCACGCCAGAGTGGGTGGGCGGCACAGAATTTAGGTTACTGGCCTCCCCAGGCGGCCCTGGCGACCCGAGTGCCCCTGCCCTGGGCGGAAAATGGGGGTGCTCCCTCCGCGGGACCCCAGCCAACGCCTGGCGGCCCCGCCCCAGCCGGACCCAGGTCTCAGGGATGCTGCAGCCGCGGGGGCGGGACCCGCAGGCGATCGCCAACGCCCCCCGCGTGGATTCGGTGCAGCTACGGTCGGCGCCACGTGATTGGTCGGCAGCGAGGCAGGGGCGGGGCCTGACTCCTGCAGCGGGGCAGCGAGGAACTCGGCCAAAGCCTGGGGAAGCTGCTGCGGGGGCGATGGCTGCGCCGAGCCCCGGGCCCCGCGAGGTAGGTGCGGACCCGAGAGAGAACAGGAAAGGGAAGGGTTGGTGGGCAGGGGCCGGGCCTCCCCTTGGCGAGCGGCGTGGACACGCCCCCATCCAAGCCAGGGAGGGGCCCCGCAGCCGGTGGGGACACGCCCCACGTTGGGCGCCAGGTATGCAGAGGGGCGGCCTGGCAGGGATCCCTCAGCACTTCCTCAGTTTCTCATCGGGAAAATGGAGAGAATGCCAGAGCTTCTCCTTCAGGGGGCTGTCAGGAGGTCAAGCTCTCATCCAGTGCGGGGCACACGGTGGAGGCCCACTACGGGTGGGTTAGCAGCTATGACCAGCATCGTGCTGGCCTTCCGTACTGGCCCGGAGGCGCTCAGCATAGGCGAATGAAATAGATGTGACTGAATCTCCGGCATCACAGCTCCTACTATCAAGGGTTCTCGTGCAAGGAGCTCAAACTCAACAGTAACAAGAGTTCATACGTGCCACGAAGGAGCTGTTCTAGTTTTCCCGTTGCAGATGAAAAAATAAGCCACAGAAAGGTTAGGCGACTTACCTGAGGTCACAGGGCTGGTGAGAGATGTCAGTCTCAGGCCAGCTTTGACTGCAGAGCGCACACCCTACCTACTGATAATCATAATCATCCCTCTATTCAGGTGCTGACTGCGTGCCAGGCACTATGCGGCCCCTCTGGGTACCAGCATCATCCCTATTTTACAGCGGAGGAAACTGAGGCAGAAAGAGATGAGGGGAATTCTCACAAGAAGTGGAAGTGGGACTTGAACCCTGATCTTTTTCCCCTGTGATGCTGCCACAGGCTGTTTGTGTCCTGTGCCTCTTCCCAGCAGGTCCTGGCCCCCTCCCCTGAGGCTGGATGCAAAGCAGTGACCTCCAGCCGCCGGGGGCTTCTCTGGCGCCTCAGAGACAAGCAGTCTCGCCTGGGCCTGTTTGAGATCAGCCCGGGGCATGAGCTGCATGGGATGACGTGCATGATGCAGGCAGGGCTGTGGGCTGCCACCCAGGTCTCCATGGACCACCCACCTACGGTGAGTGGCCCATCTGTCCCACGAATCTCCACACCAGCAATGGCAAGACTTGGCTGATGCCCTGTCTGACTAAAACTGCAGGTGTGAGGATCAGAGAGGGATATCAAGGGGAGGAAGGCAGAGAGGGAGGAATATGCTCGTGTGGGAGCTGGAAAGTCTAGGGTGTGTTGGGGTGTGAGGAACCCCCTGACTCAGGTGGTTGCTGTGTGACTCTAGGTGAGTCTCTGCCTCTCTCTGGGCCTCGGTGTCCCCATTTATATAATGGGGGGAGATTGTACCCCTTGATTTCTGAGGCCTTCTCAGCCCTGCCAGGGTATATGGTTGGAAAGGGACCTACCCCCACCCTGCTGGTCTGGCCCATCCTCTCTGGAGCCCAGGCTGAGGCAGGGCTGGCTCAGCAGAAATGTGGCCCAACTGCAAGCTCAGCAGCTGGGTGGACCTGGGTGAGCATGTCTGGTGTTTGTGTGTGTGCATGTGTGCGCAGTGGGACCACATTCCACAGGCCACATCCGGGCAGGGACCTGGAGGTCCAGGGAGAGCATAAAAACTCGAAGGAGTTCTCTAAATTACAAACTGACCTCGTCACCTGCTGAAAAGCTTCCATGGCTCCCCAGTATTCAGCATGACCTCCAGATCCAGCTGCGTTCAGCCTCATTCACACTCCCTCATTGTAGGGTAGGGACCCTCCTTTACCCACTGGGGTCCTCATTCCCTTGCTGGCAGCCACCAGTGCTGTTGCTACTGCTGCAAGCATCCTGCTCTTCATCTCCACTACCCTTTAGATTTCAGCTTAGCGGTCGCCACCCCCAGGAAGTCTTCTCTGATCTTGCCCCTCCAGGGTTGCATCAGGCAGGTCCCTTGGCTTCAGGGCCATCCCCTTGTACTGGATGGAATCTGGCCTGTGAGTCTGGGAACATGCCTAGCTTGAACTCATGGCCTGGTGCTGGGGACCCAGTGGTGGATGAGATACACTCAGGCCTTTCGTGGATCACTCTTGCACCCTGGCAGCCCTGGGAGGACAAGCAACGCGTTTACCCTACTCAGGAACACCCAGAGACAACTCCAGTCCCAGTTTGCTGAAGGAATCAAATTGAAGGAGTGGGACAGGCCAGGTGCAGGACATCTGGAGATCCTGGGGCAGGCAGCAGGAGACTGAGGCTTGCCCTGAGCTCCTCTACCTCTCCCTGCAGGGGCCGCCCTCCCAGGACGATTTCTCCGAGGTCCTAACCCAGGTTCATGAGGTAGGAAGCCCCAGAGTCCTGTGTGGGAGGGGCATGTGATGGTCTTGCTCTCTCCTCGGCAGTTTTCTCATCTGCAGTGGAAGTGAAGGCTTGTCCCTGAGCCTTGAGCCTTGAGCCTTGCAGGAAGGGTGTGGCCACCCTGCCCCTCCTGACCCAGGACCAACTGCACACACCTGGGCCCACGCAGACACTCCAGAGGCAGCTCTTGCTCCCCTGCAGGGCTTCGAGCTAGGCACGCTGGCCGGCCCCGCCTTTGCCTGGCTGCGCCGCTCTCTGGGCCTGGCGGAGGAGGACTATCAGGCTGCGCTGGGCCCCGGCGGCCCTTACCTGCAGTTCCTCAGCACGTCCAAGAGCAAGGCCAGCTTCTTCCTGTCGTGAGCTTGCGGCAGGGGTGGGGTAGGGGTGGGAGTGGTGCCCCTGGCTGGGAGGGCAGAATTCCCAGTGGCGGCGAGGACCCCCTGAAGAGAGAAACAGAGCGGCCTTAATCAGGGAGGGTCAGGGCCGGATGGAGGACAAATGACCGGGGAGAGAAGGAGAGCGGTGGCGGAGGAGAGGGGCTGTACCGAGACCCGGGAGCGAGATCCGCAGCACAGGTCGGGGAAGGCCGGGTGGGAGCCGCTCCAGCCAGGCCTGGGCAGTGACCTCTTTCTCCTGCCCCCCAGCCACGACCAGCGCTTCTTCCTGAAGACCCAGGGGCGCCGGGAGGTGCAGGTGCTGCTAGCCCATCTGCCCCGCTACGTGCAGCACCTGCAGCGGCACCCGCACTCGCTGCTGGCGCGGTTGCTGGGTACGCAGCTGCCTTCGGGGCTCGGTGGGGGCGGGTGCCAGGTGGTACTGTACCTGGGGAGGGCGGGGTACGTGGGGGGGGGCAAATGGGTGGATGAGAGATTGGACGACGTGGGGGCGGGGCACCACTGGGGCTGTGTTTAGAGGTGGGGTCAGGTCGGGATCCGAACCCCAGCCGTGGAAGGGTCCGGGTGCTGCGGATCTTGAGGAGGTATGGCCTGACGCTGGGACTGGCGCCGGATGAACCCCGGGTTGTGGAGTTTGGAAACCCTCACCCAGCGTCCTCTCCCCTTCCAGGAGTGCACAGTCTGCGGGTAGACCGGGGAAAGAAGGTGGGTGAGGCTGAGGTGAGGTGGCTGGGCAGAGCGGGCGGCTGGAGGGCGACAGCCGGCCTCCCTCACTCCCTGTCCCGGCCCCCAGACATACTTCATCATCATGCAGAGCGTCTTCTATCCCGCCGGCCGCATCTCTGAGAGGTGAGTGGCCTGGAGCAAGCTCGGGGCCCCACCCCAGCCAGAACTCACCGCCCGAAGCGCCCACACTCCCTAGCCAGACAGCGAAACTGAGGCCCAGGAAGGAGAAGGGCATTACCAAGATCTAGGGGGTCGGAGCGTCTCTGGAGCACTCAGCATGCGTTAGGCGCCTTGTTGGACCCTTCGCACCTTTTTAATTCCCAGAAGGACGCTGAGAGGCAGCTCTTATCCTCCTTCCTAGATGAGAAACGGAGAAAGAAGGCCACACAACTAACATGCGGGGAGCAGGGACTTAGACCCAGCCTCTGGCAGCGTGCACGTGGCCCCCTGTGCCCTCCAGCGCTGACTCTGCCCACTGGTTCCCTGTGAGCGCTCCCCTGCCACCCCGCCCCTTGCCATTGGCTGCCCCCAGGCCCTCCTGGTGCCACCACCTAGGGTTGGATCCCTGTGTCTGGGACATCCTCGGGGGTGACAAGGTATCCAGAGGCAGACACAGGCAGGGCTCAAGCCTGGGCTGGGCCTCCAGTAGCCTGAGTGTGAATACCTGCTCTGCTCTTATCTTTAACTCAGAAACAATAATAGACAGGGCTTCAGCTACAGGGCCAGGCATGGTGGGTCGTGCTTGTAATCACAGCACTTTGGGAGGCCAAGGGAGGAGGATTACGTGAGCCCAGGCATTGGAGACCACCCTGGGCAATATAATGAGACCCTGCCTCTATAAAAAAAAAAAAATGAAAAAATTGGCCAGGAACAGTAACTCATGCCTATAATCCCAACATTTTGGGAGGCCGAGGTAGGCAGATTACCTGAGGTCCTGAGTTCAAGACCAGCCTGACCAGCGTGGAGAAACCCTGTCTCTACTAAAAATAGAAAATTAGCTGAGCATGGTGGCAGGCATTTGTAATCCCAGTTACTTGGGAGGCTGAGGCAGGAGAATCGCTTGAACCCGAGAGGCTGAGGTTGTGGTGAGCTTAGAGCACATCATTGCACTCCAGCCTGGGCAACAAGAGTGAAACTCCATCTAAAAAAAAAAAAAAAAGCCCTGGGTGTGGTGCCATGTGCCGGTAGTCCCAGCTACTTGGGAGTTGAGGTGGGAGGATCTATTGAGCCCAGGAGGTCAAGGCCTCAGTGAGCCGTGTTTGTGTCACTGCACTCTAGCCTGGGTGACAGAGCAAGACCTTGTCTAAAAAAAGAAAGAAAGAAACAAGACAAGGATTGTGCTGAGGTTTGGGGATGATTTATGTAATGAGTTCAGTGCACATGAGTAGTCACTGGAAGCTCTTGTGAGAGTCTCTGTGTGTCTCAAATCTATGTAAAGCTGCATTCTGTCCCCCCACTCAGGTATGACATCAAAGGCTGCGAGGTGAGCCGCTGGGTGGAGCCTGCCCCTGAGGGCAGCCCCCTTGTCCTGGTGCTGAAGGACCTCAACTTTCAGGGCAAGACCATCAACTTGGGTGAGCCACGGGGGTGGCCACTGCCTGCTCCTCCTTCATTCAGGGTGAAATTTAGAAGGGTGTCTCTGCTGCCCTCTGCCTAAGGCATTAAGAGACCAGATTCTGGAATCAGGCAGAACAGAGTTCAAATTCAGACTCCACAACTTCCTAGCTAGGTGACTAAGGCTGATTACAGATGAGTTTCCTTATTTGTGAGATGGGAACAGAAATGCCACCTGCTGTCACGGGGCAGAGTGTGTGGAGCACCGTGGTGGTGCGCTCAGGTGGGGGCACTGATGCTCCGGCAGGGCCCCAGCGGAGCTGGTTCCTCCGCCAGATGGAACTGGACACCACTTTCCTCCGGGAGCTCAACGTGCTGGATTACAGCCTCCTGATGGCCTTCCAATGTCTCCATGAGGATGAGAGGGGCCCGGGCAGCAGCCTCATCTTCCGCACAGCCAGGTGAGCCCCCACAGAGGCAGCAGCGAGAACGAGGTGGTGAGAGTAAGAGAAAGACAGACACAGGGGTGTGGGAGTGTCTTGCCTCTGCTGGGAGCAGTGCAGGCAAAGTCATGAAGGCTGGAAAGTGCAGTGTGTGTGTGTGTGTGTGTGTGTGTGTGTGTGTGTAGAGGGGAGGGCTGGAGAAACCTGGCCAGTAGGGGCAGGAGGGGCACAGGTGGTCAGCAGCAGGGGACAGAACAGATGAAGTCCAGTTGGACCAGAGCTTCGGTGACTATTTGAAGAATCTGCTCATTTTCCAGTGGGAATGTGGAACCATTGAAGCTTTCAGAGCAGAGGAAAAGACCTATTTTTTTTTTAATTTTTGCTTTTTTTTTTTTTTTCTTTTGAGATGGAGTTTCGCTCTTGTTACCCAGGCTGGAGTGCAATGGCACGATCTCGGCTCACCGCAACCTCCGCCTCCTGGGTTCAGGCAATTCTCCTGCCTCAGCCCCCTGAGTAGCTGGGATTACAGGCACGCGCCACCATGCCCAGCTAATCTTTTGTATTTTTAGTAGAGACGGGGTTTCACCTTGTTGACCAGGATGGTCTCAATCTCTTGACCTCGTGATTCACCCGCCTCGGCCTCCCAATGTGCTGGAATTACAGGCTTGAGCCACGCGCCCGGCCGCTTTTTTTTTTTTTTCCTGAGATGAAGTCTCCCTCTGTCGCCCAGGCTGGAGTGCAATGCTGCCGTCTCAGCTCACTGCAACCTCCACCTCCTGGATTCAAGTGATTCTTCTGCCTCAGCCTCCTTAGTAGCTGGGATTACAGGCGCCTGCCATCATGCCTGACGAATTTTTTTTTTTTTTTGAGCCCTACAAACCCTGAGACTTCTAGGGTTGGATGTTTCCAAACAGAAATTTAGGAAATAGACTTACCTGAATTCATATGGCACCGAAGTGAAGATTCCAGGGTCTGTGTGGCCCAAAGGCCCAAGGACCAGTGCTACCCAAAAGAAATATAACTCAAGCCACACACGTTATTTAAAATTTTCTAGTAGACTCATTTTAAAAAGTAAAAACATGGCCGGGTGCTGTGGCTTATGCCTGTAATCCCAGCACTTTGGGAGGCTGAGGTGGGCAGATCACAAGGTCAGGAGTTTGAGACCAGCCTGGCCAATCTGGTGAAACCCCATCTCTACTAAAAACACAAAAAATTAGCCTGGCATGCTGGTGCGCACCAGTAGTCCCAGAAACTCAGCAGGCTGAGGCAGGAGAACTGCTTGAACCCGGCAGGTGGAGGTTGCATTGAGCTGAGATTGCCAAAATGTTCATTTCGTAGAATCAACATAAAAATGAATGAGATATTTTACATCCTTTTTTTCATCCTGTCTTTGAAATTGGGTATGTATTGTACTTGTATAGCACATCTCAACAGGGACTGTCCACATTTTGAGGCTCAGGGGCCACATGCGGCCAGGGTCTAAGTACTGAACGTGCACCTGTAGCCCAACAATTTCACTTTTCTCAGTTTACCTGAGTTCACAGACCTAGGCACACAGGAGGTGTGGGAATGAGCAGGCGGAGGGGTGGGCAGCCTGGCCAGGCTTGCAGAGCCGACTGACTGGGGCTTCCTGGAGGAGGTGGCAGCTTCACTCTCCTGTCGGTCCCCAGGTCTGTGGAAGGGGCACAGAGCCCGGAAGAGTCAGAAGCGCAAAACCGCCGGTTGCTGCCCGACACCCCCAACGCCCTTCACATCCTGGATGGGCCCGAGCAGCGCTATTTCCTGGGTGTCGTGGATCTTGCCACGGTGTACGGGCTCCGCAAGCGGCTGGAGCACCTGTGGAAGACACTGCGCTACCCGAGCAGGACCTTCTCCACTGTCAGCCCAGCTCGCTACGCCCGTCGCCTCTGCCAATGGGTGGAGGCGCACACGGAGTGACCGGTGCCCGGCCCCACTCTCCGGATCTGGATGATGGGCCGCACGCCAGGAAAACCGGTTCCTCCGGGCCCGGGCATCTCGCCTGTGCTTCCTGCCGATGGGCGCCAGAGGGCAGCATCCCCTAACTAATACTGTAACCGCGCAGCCCCGTTTGACGGCGATGCTGTGCCCAGCATCGTGCCAAGGACGCCCCACTTTAGCTTATTTATTCCTCAAAAAATGCTATTATTCTCTTTTTACAGACCATGAGATGGAGGCTCAGGGGGTGAAGGGACTGAAACAGATCATTCAGCAATAAATGCTGGATCCAGGACTCAACATGGCTTTTGGATTCCGGAGCCTGTATTCTTAACCACCAACTAACTCCTGGAGCTTGGTCCTCATGATCTGGGCAAGGGGGGAGGCTGAAGGCTGCAGCCCTCTTGTCGTCCAGATGGGGAAACTGAAGCTCAGAGACTTTAAGGGGCTTATGCACTGGTAAGTGGCAAGGTTGGCCCTGAGTACCCGGCCTCCCGACTCCCTGCTCCTGGCCCTCTGAAGGTCACTTTCTCATCAGTAACTGGGGATGGGTCAGTGGTCAGACCAAGATCTTGGCTGCACAGACATCACCGGGAGCCTGCACAGTCCCTGATCACGCCTTCTCCTTCCTCCAGGAAACTCCAGCCTGGCCTCTGACCCCAGTTCAATCTGACCATGCCCCAACCCAAGCAGGCCTTTCCTCCAGAGCTGCTCCAGGGACTGGCTGTGTGACTGGGGCAAGGTGCTAAACCTCTCTGTGCCTCACTGGTCTAATTTGTAAAATGAAAGGATGGAAACAGACCTCATTAACTCATTAAATATTTGTTGAGCACCTGCCATGTGACAGGCCCTCTGCTGGGTAATGGGGACCTGGGCACAAAGCAAGTAGCATGGTTTCTGCCTTCACAGAACTCCCAGAACTCACAATCTGAGGGAAGGGACCCCTACCTGATCAATTGATGGATGGTGTTGGGGGAGGGGCTTTAACTTTTACATTGAGACCAGAGAAGAGTCTGACACATCCCTAGGAGGATCCCAGGCTAAGGGTACAGCAGGGGTCTGGAGTAAGAGAAGAAAAACGTTTCAGAGTGGGAGGGGGCCACGTGGGCCAAGAGTGGACCCCCAGGTTTGGACAATGTAGGAACTCGGGGAAGCCCTTCAGCTGCAACGCTCAATCATTCCACTGACCCGCCAGATCCCATCAAAGCAAGACAGCTGGGGGCAGGGCACGGGGGCTCACACCTGTAATCCCAACAGTTTGGGAGGCCAAGGCAGGCGGGTCACCTGAGCTCAAGAGTTCGAGACCAGCCTGGCCAACATGGAGAAACCCCGTCTGTACTAAAAAGACAAAATTAGCCGGGTGTGGTGACACATGCCTGTAATCATAGCTACTCAGGAGGCTGAAGCAGGAGAATTGCTTGAATCTGGGAGGTGGAGTTTGCAGTGAGCTGAGATAGAGCCATTGCACTCCAGCCTGGGTAACACTGGCAAAAATCCATCTCAAAAAAAAAAAGAAAGAAATATGGCTGTGGGGCTGGGTACAGTGGCTCATGCCAGTAATCCTAGCACTTTGGGAGGCGGAGGTGGGTGGATCACTTGAGGTCAGGAGTTTGAAACCAGTCTGGCTAACATGGTGAAACCCTGTCTCTAGTAAAATATGAAAATTAGCCACATGTGTAGTTACAGCTACTCGGGAAGCTGAGTCAGACGAATCGCTTGAACCTGGGAGGTGGAGGTTGCAGTGAGTTGAGATTACACCACTGCACTCCAGCCTGGGCAACAAAGTGAGACTCCGTCTCAAACAAAACAAAACAACAACAAAAAGAAAGATGCCTGAGGGGAAAGAGGGAGGAAGGAGAGCTCTGGCTGCAGGCCTGGAGTATTGGTTCCTGGAATATATGGCTTTTGGGTTTTTTTGAGACAGGGTCTCCCTCTGTCACCTAGTCTTGAGTGCAGCGGCATGCTTAGAGCTCACTGCAGCCTCAGCCTCTTGAGCGCAAGTGATCCTCCCACTTCAGCCTCCCAAGTAGCTGGGACTACAGGCATGTGCCATCACACCTGGCTATTTTTATTTTATTTTTTTGCAGAGACAGGGTCTCACCATATTGCCCAGGCTGATCTCGAACTCCTGAGCTCCAGGAATCCGCTTGATTTGGCCTCCCGAAGTGTTGGGCCCACAGGCATGAGCCACTGTGCCCCAACAGAATATATGCACTTTAAATACTGACATCACTCTTAGTCGTCTGGGGAAATGTGCCTGATTTCTCAGCATCTCTGTGCTGGCATGAGCTGAGTGGAAATTTCTTGTTCTTGCTTTAGCAAGAATATGTGACATAGAGTGTATAAGCTCATCACTCAGGAGGTGATGGACCAGGGAAAGTCAAGAGGTGGTAGGGAACTGCAGCAGGAACTGGGATCTGACACCACATTTCCACCTGTCTGGCTCCCACAGGGCTGAGTCAGTGTCACAGAGTCCTGCTGTCACACATAAGGATGATTCAGCCCCTCTCCACCTTTGGGTCTCTGTCTGTGAGCCTGGCCGGGATCTAATGCTAGAGAGGAAAGTGATTTGTCGAAGAACTCATGGGACCCAGGCTCTCCTAACTCACACATTGATAGACATGACCTAGCACCTAGTGTGCTGGGCACAGTTTGGGTGATGGGAGTGCCCTGAGCACATGGCTGGTCTGTCTTTGCCCACATGGAGCTTAGAGTCTATGGGGCAGGTGGAACTTAAACAAGGTAAACAGTTAATACACAGGGCGATTTCAGAAACTGAGTTGGGGTGAGGCAGGAGGGATGGGGTGCAGGGTTGGGCAGGGTGGCTGGCAAGGGCTTTTCGGAGGAGGTGATGCTTGAGCTGAATGACGGGAGGAGCCACCATGTGACTAGAGCAGTCCAGCATAGGACACAGTGAATGCAAAGGTCCTATGGTAGGAATGGCTTCAGTATAATTGTCGGGCAGAGGGTGGCCAGGGCAGGTGGAAGGTGACTGAAGGAGTTCACATGGTGCAGAATCTTCTAGGTTGTGGTAAGCAGAGTAGTTTTTTGCCAAGAGCAAAGTGAAGGTCTTCATCTGGGGCTGTGACTTCCTGGTCACAGTTCCACTGTGGACTTCTGATCCTCATCTACCCTGGGAGCCCGGGCCACTGGGGCAAGCTGCTCTCTCCATGTGGCCCTAGCAAGGACGGAGTTGCCTCTCTGGGGAGGAATCATCACCTCACCAGCTGTCCTGGGCAGTGAGTGAATCCATAGGGAACGTCTCGCCATTGCACCCTCAGGGTTGGGCCTATGAGGAAAGACACTTGAAGGATGAGGGCTGAGGGGGAAAGGCTCTGGCTCTGGGAATGCACTGCCTGTGTGAGTGAGGGGCCATGGCGACTGAGCATGAACCACTACTCCCCATGTCTGCCCAGGCTGGAGTGTCCAGGGACAGGAGGGTTTGTACTCAAAGGAGGCCCCTGGGGTGCAGGGCCACTACAAGCAGCCTACCTCCCAGCCCCTGGTCAGGGGAGGCACTGAGGCCTAGAGCACCAGGCTCAGGGGTGATTTGGTTTTGAACTTGGAGCAGGATAGACTGAGAAGGTTGCTGAGCTGCGGATGGATACTCTGGCATCCTGCCCAGGCCTGAGCCTCTGAGAAAAAGGAAAATGGAGACCAGGGCAGGAGCGCAAGCTGGTTCCCAGTCCAACGCCCTACAGAGGAGGTGACTGTGGTGGGGATGGTGAAATGACCTTTCCGGACAATGCAACATTTTGCAAAAAAGATCTTAGACGAGTACTGAGCGTGGTGGCTCACACCTGTAATCCCAACACGTTGGGAAGCTTGAAGGTCACTTGAGGTCACTTGGGCAGGTCACTTGAAGTCAGGAGTTTGAGGCCAGCCTGGCCAACATGGTGAAACCTTGTATCTACTAAAAATACAAAAATTAGCTGAATATTGCTTGAACCCTGGAGGTGGAGGTTACAGTGAGCTGAGATGGTGCCACTGCACTCTAGCCTCAGCAACAGAACGAGACTCCATTTCAAACAAACTAAAGATCCTAGACGGGAAGTGTGCCTTCTCACTTCCCCACAGGCCCACCCCTGCTACTGCCCCAGTGCTTTCTGCCACGAGCCTGACGCCTGAAGGCAATTGCCTCTGAGATCCCAAGGGACCCCAATAGGACACTGCAGCATCTGCCTGGGGCCTGGGCTGACTTGACTTGGATTCGGAGGACATTCCAGCAAGGAAGACTTTGAGAGGTAAGAGTAGGTGGTCACAGCCCTGGCTCTGGAGTGAAACTGTCTGGGTTCGAATCCTGGCTGTGCCAGGAGCTGCCTCTGCACTGTCTCAGAGGAGAAAAACAGGCTCAGGTGAATGCCACACGGACATAATCATAATAAAATAATCATATTGAAAATAACTAATTTATTCGTTATCTGAATTTCCAGTGTCAGTGGACATTCTGTGTCTTGATAAATCCGGCAACCCTACCAGTTGAAAGGTGGGCTGCCTGACCCGAAGCCCCGCTTAATCTCCCTGCCCAACCCTCATTTCAGAAATAGAGACACTCAAGTCTGGACAGCCAGGCCGCCACTGCACTGGGGCCCCGACACCCTCTAGGTCAGTTTTCCCTGCGGTCCCAACAGCCTCGCCCAGGCAGGACCCTGCTGGAACTGCGGGAGGAGGGAAAAGTGAAAGGCCGGAGCAGAGTCTGACTCCGCCCCGGCCCGGAGGCCCCGCCCCTAGCTGGAGGCCTCGCCGCCAGCCATTCACGTCCCGCCCCGTCCCGGCCGCGCAGAGCCCGCCCCAGGTGGCGCAGGCAGGGTTCGTAGGATCCGCCCACGGCGCGCAGGCCCCGCCCCCGACGCGCGAGTCTCCGCCCCGTCCTCGCCGGCCCCGGCCCCGGCCCCGCCCCCGCCTCCGGCCGCGCGGTTTCGGCTTCCAGCCTCCAGAAGGGGCGGCCGCGTCGCCGCCTCCGCCCCGGGGATCCTGCTTCCAGCCTGGTCGGCCCGGCCCGGAGGCCATGGAGCTCCGAACAGCGGATCGCAAGCCTCCTGCGAACCCCAGCCTGCACGCCTGGTTAGCACCCGGCGGGAAGATGGGGCAGTGGAATCTGGTAGGGCGGTGAAAAACCCACGTCCTGCCCTCCCCCGGCCTCTCCATTCGTCCCCCGGGTAGAAAGGTAGGAGGATGGAGGGGGTGGCATTCCCGGCTTCTGGCTCACTCTGCCCCAGACCTGATTGGTGACCTTGAGCTGGGGGCGCCTCCTCGCTACCTCTTCTTCCCCATCTGCGCAGTGGGGATTGGGTTGGCAGGCGGTCTCGCAAAGGTCGCTGATTCCTGCTCCTTTAGGATGGGGACATTGCCTTCCGGCGTTTGGAGACGTCAAGGCGTTGGATTCCCGGGCTCCACGTGCTTTCACCCCGGCCTGTACCCTCCCCTGCCTCAGTTTTCCCCATAGCCTGGGACCCCATCTGCCTTACTCCTCCTGGCTCTGAGTTTCTGGGTCTTGGCAGGTGCCCGGCTCCTACAGCTTCCCAGCCCCAGCCCTGGAGACAGCAGCCCCCAAATTACTGAGGGACAGCGACAGCATGAAGGCTCCGGTAAGTGGTGGAAGAAAGACTCCCAGGAAATGCAAAGGCCCCCACCAGAGGAGCAGCTCAGCAGCCTCTCCACCCCAGGACCCGCTGCCACTTCTGACCTCCCTGCTGTGGTGCAGAGAAAGGCAGACTGGCCTCAAAGTCTAGCGCTGTTCTTGCAGACTGTGCGGTCCCAGGCGGGTGGCATCCCTTCTGTGGTATCAGTGCCTTGCTCTCCCTGTAAAACAGAGGTAATGCTACAATCTCACCAGG